GGTTCGCCCAGACCGGTAGTAAAAAATGCTACCGGTTCCTACCGGAACCTGTAGTAAAAAAATGCTTTAAAAAAGTAAAAAAAAAAGGTTCTGACGATCGTGTGGCACAGCTGATTGTCACACCTGATCATTGGAACCTTTTTTTTTACTTTTTAAAAGCATTTTTTTAAAAAAAAGTTGGCCATGCCCACCTAGTCACATGACACCCCCCCACCAAGCCACGCCCACCAAGCCACCCTCACAGAACCGGTAGGGAAAAATTTTGAATTTCACCACTGGTCTCAAGGTTAGGAAGGAGAGACATGCATATTATGTTCTCCCTTCCCCTAAAACTGTTTAGTAACAGAAGAGCAAGATATTATTTTCTTCTACTGCTAAATTAACTGTATTCATTGCACCAGTACTAACTGCCTGGGTAGAAATGCCCACTGATTTTCTGTCCACAGTAAAAAAAAAAAAGAAAAAGTAATTTAATTGGTAGATTAGAAGCATGTACATCTGATCTCCATAAGCATCTCATTCTGATACTCGGATGAGGAAAACGTGGACATGGTAGGGGGAACAACTACAGGGAAATAAATAAATCAAAGGGAAGGAGAGAAGATGCTTGAAAGAGTATCTTTTTAAAAAATAGGAAAGGACCATTTTTAAAGATTTCTACAGCCTACTGTCCCAATAAATTCTTATGCTAGATGACACTGATTCTCTCTGAAAAAATAGTTTGTATTCAGAATAGCTCTTGGTGTGCATATTTTTACATATATTTAAGTTTGTGTGTAATCTTGATAGAATTTCAAACGTACACATTTAAAAATCAGGAAAAGGGCAGACAACATAATTTTCTGAAATGCTATTAATGCATCAGTACTATGGAAACCGTCATTACAGCTTTGAGGGCAATTTCTTTGGATTTTGTCAAGCAATGTACAAGGAATAGTTCAGAAGACTTTCAAAGAATTATCTTTTTTTTTTTTAAATGCAGAAAAGGAGGTGGTTTCATGCTACTCCAAAGAGGCATCTCTGAAGAACGAGTAGCTGATATTGAATAGTCTTCAAGCTGCACTTATTATAAAGTTTATAAAATCATACCAGCCTTTCATTCTTTCCTTATGGGACAGAGCAAAAGCAGCAGTCAGTTAACTAGATATGACAACCAACACATTCAATTTTTGATACAGTTTTTATTATTAACATCCCGGCCTTTGATGTAAGGAATGCTACATCAAAATAGCAACTGCAGAACAAAAAGTTTGAATGTGAAAAATGAGAGTAATAGATCTCATAGAGGGAGAATGTGGCACATATGTAACTTTTCCAAAACTACTCATCGTACATTTCAAATTTTGTAATCTACGGGTTAAAAAGGATCAGCCCAACAGTTTTCCTGAATCTGATATGATCCAACAACTTGAACTGGAAGTGATATATCCAGTGGTGGGATCCTGCCGGTTTAACAACCGGTTCAGTGATCATGTGTTGCGTGCATGTGCTTCACGTGTACACAGTTTTGACAAAACTAAACTTCCGTGTTACTTCTGGGGACTAACACAGCTGAGGTGCAGCAGTCCGTTCTGCCACGCGAATCAGCTGAGAGGATTAAGGTAAGTAAAGCGCGCAGGGGCGGGCGGGTGGGTGAGCCCACCGGATCGTCAGAGCGAACCGGTTCACTCCCTGCTTATCATCAGAGCTACCGGTACGCCTGAACCGGTGCGAACTGGCTGAATCCCACCCCTGGATATATCTCAGCCAGGTTAGGAATATGCCCCTTCCTTCCCAGCCTGCAACTGGATATATATTTAAACAGCACTATCTTACTTAGCAATGCATTTCACACCTGGATTAGGGGGACTGACATGAAAGGTCTACCTGCTCCCCAGCTCTGCTCCACACCCCCTTTGCCCAGGCAGAGCAGGTGGCCTCTTTTTTTGTGAGAGGGTCTTCTGCAGATCTTAATTGCAAATGTAGTCAGAAGGTCTGGCCTGACATGATTTCCCTTATTAAAGTTCAGTGGAACAGGCTGTTTGCCAGGGAACCTGTGCAGTTCATTAAACATCATATGAATGAAAGTATCTACTTCTACTAAGGAATACCAGAACAACTGATTAATTGAGAATAGACGTCTGAAGGGTGGATACCTTTGTATATACCATGTTTTCCCGAAAATAAGACCCTGTCTCATATTTTTTTGAACCCCGAAATAAGCGCTTGGCCTTATTTTCGGGGAGGTCTTATTATTTTGGGGCGCATGGAGCAAGATGGGGCTCCTCTTGCTGTCTTACCTGATTTCCAGCTCTGCGTTTAAATATTTTCAGGGAGGGCTTATTTTCGGGGGGAGGCTTATTTTAGCGCATGCACTCAAAAGCCCGATTGGGCTTATTATCAGGGGATGTCTTATTTTCAGGAAAACAGAATAATTTATTGCATATTTTTGTTTCTAATATTTCTTTCTGAAAAGCAGAGATAAGTATGGGATTCTTTTATATTGTTAGTACTTGTTTTGTTTCTTTTTAGGAGAGTTGCTGCTAAATAATCACGGCATAATAGACCAAGTCATCGCAATTAAAAGACTGATAAAATATGTGTCAATTTAAGGCATCTTGCATTTTATCTTTTAGGAGTGTAAAAATATTTTGAGTCTTGCTTACTTTAGTTGCTGCTGCTGTTCCTTCTTCCATGTCTCAATCAAGAATGAAGCCAACTTCTTGGCTTTGTCATTGGTCAAAACTTAAGTCAGTATCGATATCCCTAGTACAGGTCTCCTGCGTGAGCAGGGGGTTGGACTAGATGACCTCCCAGGTCCCTTCCAACTCTGTTACTGTTATCTGACATGTTTTTGGTAGTAGTCGACATACCAGCAGATGGGCCGGGCTCTGTATCTCTCCACATTCACTCTCTACAGTTTATAGTGTGCTGTTTTCATATTAAATGAGTCACAGAGCCGCAAATTCTATGCTAATCTTCTTCTTCTAATACAGTATGATAGGTGGCTAGTATGAGGCCATTAAGTACGGTAGGTTTGCATTAATAGAAGAGCCACATTCGGAAAGGAAATGTGAATGCCGCATTATGAAAAGAAAGCAAAATTGTATCTGTCGAAATAGCTCTGTAAATGTGCAAGATATAATTCATTTGGGTAAAGCACACCTAGCAGTCTTGGGGCAGGGCAGAGGTGGTATTCAGCCGGTTTGAGCCGGTTCAGACAGGTTCGCCCAAACCGGTAGCGGAAATTGCCCTGGCTTTATGCCATTCTATTTAGGCACGTTTTTAAGGCCGGGTGCATGCGTGGAAGGTGCGCTCGCCAGCAAAGCAAATGCACGGAAGGCCGGGTGCATGCATGGACAGGGCGCGTGCACGCGTGCACATTTGCAAACCAGTAGGGAAAGTAAGTGAATACCACCCCTGGGCCAGGGGTTCAAAACATGCCATTGAACATACCTTTTTATATGTGTCAACGCTAAAAGGAGCTTTGGGTCCTTGGGATTTTGATGAATTGAATGGTAATTATTATGCAATTGATATAGTCCTTTACTAGATGAATCCATTCCAAACTTAACGCCATGGTATTACAACTTTCTTTTGGTGTTTTCCAAATAATTTTACCCTGTGAAAAACATAATATTTTCCTAGTTTGTTAAAATTAAAAAAAAAAAAGGAAAAAAGAAGGAAAAAAAATTAAAAAACTGGTGGCCGTGAAAACAGCTCTACAAAGATCAAAAGAAAAAAAGTTAATACAGGTAGTCCTCAACTTACAACAGGTCATTTAGTGACCGTTCAACGGCACTGAAAATGATGACTTACGACAGTTTTTCATAGTCACGACCTTTACTGCATCCCCAGGATCATGTGATCAAAATTCAGATGCTTGGAAACTGGTTCATAAGTCAATGGGGAAGCTGGATTCACTTAACAACCTGGTTACTAACTTATCAACTGCAGTGATTCACCGGAACTGTGGTAAGAAAAGTCATAAAATGAGTCAAACAAATGTCTCACGGACCAACAGAAATGTTGGGCTCAATTGTGGTCATAAGCTCAGGACTGCCTGTATCTCTTGTATTAAGTGTGTGCACTGATTCTCCTATGTTTCAGGTTAGGCCCTTATCATGCACAAATGCTTCCATCAAGGAGACAAAAATACTTTTCACAGGTATTTTGCATGAAGGAATTCACTTTAATAAAGAGATTATCCGAACACAGCAGGGGTGAAATGCTCCCGGTTCGGACCGGATCACCCGATCCGGTAGCGATGGCGACGGGTGGTTCGGAGAACCGGTAGCAAAAATCCCTGCCCCCCCCTCCATGCCCAGCTGAGCCACGCAATCATCAGAGGCTTTTTTTAATTTCTTTTTTACTTTTAAAAGCATTTTTTCTTTGGCCGAGGTTCTATTCAAGAGGTTGTTAAAAAAATGCTTTTAAAAGGCTCTGACGATCCCAGCTGAGTTGCCTGATCGTCAGAGCCTTTTAAAAGCATATTTTTACAACCTCTTCCGCTGAAGAGGTTGTAGAAAAAATTCTTTTAAAAGTGTAAAAAAAAAAAAAAGTTGGCCATACCCACCCAGTCACATTACAACCAACCCCCCCCCCCAAGCCACACCCATAGCAAAATTTGTAGTAACAAATTTTACATTTCATCACTGGAACACAGTTAGGAGAATCAATGCAGACATCCCAAACTAGGCATTTTACTTTACTTTAGAGGTCATCTACACTGGCTCAAATGTGCTAAAATTAGTAAAAGCGTAATATTCATTGCTTATTAATGAATATTCTTTGAAAGTAGGTATGGTAATGCTTTTTTTTTTCAGATTACATGGGCGTCCATGCGTTATAAATAAACTCAGAATTGCAGTGGCACAATGCATGCTTCTGTAACATTTGAGTTGAGCTTTAGACACATCACCTGTGTGGATTCAGAGGCCTTCCCCTCTTGTAGTGGGGCTCAGCTGGCTAACCACAGCATGTATGAAGCATTGAAGACTATCTTCCCCTTTCTTTGGCAGGCAACCTTGGTTTTATGGCTGGGGCTTTAATCTACCACGAGGCCAAGCGCTCTTAGAGAAATGGAACCTAATTCCAGATGGGATAGACATTCTTATTACACACGGACCGCCTCTTGGTAAGAAAACGCTGAAAAAACGCTTATCTGGTTCAGTTCAATTTATATGTCTCTGCTGTGTCTTTGGGGACAGATGACAATTTTGAGTCTTTGCCTTTTCCATGCAGCTCTTCAGATGTAAATTGGTGTGTTTCTGGGGTGCTTTTCGCTGAAATACACTAGTAGCCAGGGGTGGGCTTCAAAAATTTTAGCAAGGGGTTCTCTGGCCGGTTGCTGGATGGGCGTGGCCATGGTGGGTGTGGCCTAGCTGGCCTCCTGCATCATGGCGGGGGGCGGCGTTTTTGCCGTCCCCAGGCTCGGAGGCTTTCCTCGAGCCTCAGGGACGGTGAAAACAGCCTCCCCAGGCTCTGGAGGCCCTCTGGAGGCCAGAAATATTTCGGGCCTTCCCGAACTTCCGGTAGGCCCATGATTCGCCCTCCCCGAGCCTCTGTGCACGCCCTGCACTTATCTGCATCCAAAACGGGCCGCCTGGGGACTACTGGGAGGGGCGGGGTGGGGTGGGCGCAGTGGTGGGATTCAAATAATTTAACAACCAGTTCTCTGCCCTTAGGATTTCTTCCAACAACCAGTTCACCAAACTGCTCAGAAAGTTAACAATCGGTTCTCCCGAAGTGGTGCGAACTGGCTGAATCCCACCACTGGGTGGGCGGGACCAGCCAGGAGTGGGATTTGGGGGTTCTCTTAACTGCACAGAACCTTAGCTAGAGGTTCTCCCGAACCCCTGCGAACCCCCAGCAGCCCACCCCTGCTAGTAGTCCATGTCTGCTTATTGCCCTAACATTAGTAAAGTCTCTTGATAGAATTGGCCTTCGTTAATCACTGAGAATAAAATAATTCAAAGTTAATGCTAAGTTAAATTCGCATTGCAAACATTTAAATGCATCTCGCTGCAAGCGAACACCGTATCTCCCAACTCAAAGTTTCTACAAGTTAATAATCATACCGGTATTTCTCAAGTGATCGGGGCACCATTAGATACTATCGAGGGCATTCACACAGCCAGTGGTAAAACAAACTCAAGATGGCAGCCACAATTTGTATTTAAAGCTTTGACCCTTTTACGTGCAACAGGTATAGGCTTCAGACCAGCTACCATCTTGACTTTTTTTACACTCCCCACTGCAGATGCCCCTAGATCCTTTGTCTCATACCCAACTCTCATTTCCTCCTTTTCTGTAGTCCTTCTATCCAGGACATAGCATATAAGTGATGCTTGAGCAAGCTCTGCAGGATTCTGAGGCTCCAACTGGCGCAGAGTGCGGCCGCGCGGGTGGTGATGGGAGCGACGTGGCGCTCCCATGTAACGCCTCTCCTGCGCGAGCTGCACTGGCTCCCGGTGGTCTTCCGAGTGCGCTTCAAGGTTTTGGTCATCACCTTCAGAGCGCTCCATGGCTTAGGACCTGGTTATCTACGGGACCGCCTGCTACCACCAATAGCCTCCCACCGACCAGTACGCTCCCATAGAGAGGGGCTCCTCCGGGTGCCGTCGGCCAAACAATGTCGACTGGCGGCCCCCAGCGGGAGAGCCTTCTCTGTGGGGGCACCTACTATCTGGAACGAGCTCCCCCCCGAGATACAGAGGATTCCGGATCTGCGTACCTTCCGTCGCACGCTTAAGACGTTCCTATTCTAGCAAGCCGGCCTGACCTAAACTTCTCCTCTTTTAAATGGGAATTTTAAATTTGGTTTTAAATTATTGGGGTTTTAAATATGGTTCAGCCAAATTTATTTAACTTGTTTTATCTCTATTTTAAATTTTGTATTTATATGTTTTATTTCATGGCTGTTCACCGCCCTGAGTCCTTCAGGAGTAGGGCGGTATACAAATTTAATAAAATGAAAAAATGAAATGAAATGTTTGGGACACTACACATCCTCTTCACAACCTGTTTTCCTTGTTACCTTCTGGGAGTTGTTCTGACCTAGCCTTCCCCAGCAGCACGAAGCAAAGTCTTTCCTCTCCCACAGTCTTTCAAGTTAGTTCACAATTACTGACCTTTATCAGGCTTGGAGAGTGGCCAGGCCAATATCTTTCAGACTCCACACTGTAATGGACAATAATTGGCAAGAATGCAGGAACAGATCTTCATCCAAATGAACTAATTGTCTCCTACAAACTCCCCTCCCCTTCACTCCTCTTTATTCTCTATGGGAGGGGCCATTCACCGTCCACCTATGGCTTTACTCCTGAGTCGACCCTTGTTCCTTAGCTGTTCCCTTTTCCTGGCAGCTCTGCGCATGCACACACTGGGAACAGGATCCAGCTGTTCTTCTGCCTCACTGATGTCCGACTCTGAAGGCAGCTGACAACTGTCAGACGACCCTGGCCCCATCTCTGCCTCCGACGCAGACCACTCATTAGAGCCTTCCCCAGATTCCAGGACTGGCCCATGTTCCTTCCCAACCTCCTCTCTGTCCGAATCTGCTGCCAGATCTGCTGGCCGCTAGCGGGCCACAACAGGAGTATCAACCTGGTGTCTTACTTTCCATCTCTAATCTGCTCCTATTTTGTGTACAAAAAAGTTAAAAATTGGGAGTGTCCATGCTCATTGTCCACAAGGTTGTTTCCAGTGGCCATTGGAAATTCTGCACCTTTGGATAGATACAGGAATTATGCATATTGTTGCCTGTTGCTAATGTTCTTTTTACCTTGGTTTTGTCCTGTTTTGCCAGTTATTTGCTTTGGATATTTATTAAATAAATATTGAACTATACGTTGCTATTTAGTCCATATGTGGGGTGTGCCCATATCTGACCTGGATGCAGTATTTGAATGGGCGTGTGCCAGCTACAAACTAAAGTGGAAATTAGCCACTATAATTTTCTAACTTGGAACCTGCCTAGTTGATTGTTGGCAACAATGATTTATACTTTCCTGTTAGTTGCCGATTACTGTTTAACCCAAATGTTAAAAAAAGGGAAAGAAAGGAATATTTAAGGCAGTCTCCTTAGTGTTCGCTAGGTGTAATAAATTATTCTTAGTTTGTGTAGTCAGGTGTACATAATAAGCTGCAAACATATGGGAAAGCTTCAGAAGGTTGACATTGCATGCAGACAAAAACATGTTCAACATAAATAACGCTTAATTTAATGAAGGAGTTAATTTCATGGATTTTAGTTTGCAAAATTTTTGAAGTGGAAATACTTTTTGCCTTTATACACCACCTCATTTACAATTAATTATTTCCAGTCATGTGACAACAACTTGAATTTCTTTGCTCGAGCAAAGTTTTGCAAAAGCCAGAAGTTGACCAATTGCTGTACAATACGACGTCCATGAGAATCTTGCGCAAGCGCACCATATGCACTCGCTAAGGATCACTGGTTAACCGTGGTGCAAGAACATAAAACAACGAGAAGAGAAAGACCCGGCATACGGTGCAATCAGGTGGTTGCTAGAGGAATGAAATATGAACATAAAGGCAAATCAGAAAGGTGATTTGGAAAAGAAGGTAGAGGAATTTTTTAAAAATGGAAGAGGAATGAAGGAGACAATTCATGCACATGCTGGCTGAGGAATTCTTGGAGTTGAAGTTCACAAGTTGTAAAATTGCCAAGGCTGGAGACCCCTGCTATAGATGGTCCTTCTTCAAGTAATTCCCTGAACCACTGGGACGAAGAGAGATCCCAGAACTTCACAGTTTTGGCATGATGATCATGGGCTAACGTAACACTTAACAGGCTAGTGAATCAGTTATCACCTGATTGGGTTCAGTCTTCTAATGAGTGAATTTGGGAACTTGTAGATAAAGCAGAAGTAGACCAGTGGTGGGTTTCAAATTTTTTTACTACCGGTTTTGTGGGTGTGGCTTGGTGGGCATGGTTTGGCTTGGTGGGCATGACAGGGGAAGAATACTGCAAAATCCCCATTCCCTCCCCATTCCAGGGAAGGTTACTTCAAAATCCCCATTCCCTCCCCACCCCACTAACCTGCTCTGTGAAGGAATCAAACTCCCACCTCTTCATTTCCCCAAATAAAATATTACTCATAAGAAAAGGCTCCCAGAAAAGCAAGGAAAAATCAAGCTGCTAACAAGGAACCTGCCTGATACTTATTCCACGTTCTTGCCAGCTGCATAAAGGAAACTTTGTAAGAAGGAAACAGCTACCGGTGCTTAGAGATAATAGAAGGTGGAAGGTGGAAGTTCAGCTCCATTTACAAGCAGACTGAAAACTCATTAAAGATGGGATATTTCACAATGGAAATCGCCCAAACCTTTTTAGAAACACAAAGCCCATGTTGCACAAACCCGAAAACTTCAAAAACATAGAACCATATAAGAATCCCTCCTCTTATCCAGTTTGTTGTTCAGCTGACCCAGAAACGAACTGCTGAATGTCACTTCGCTTCTGCAAATAAAAACCTCCTTCCACCAGCTGCTTCTTGGCTTGTCAATTTAAAGTGACGGCGTCTTTTTTTCCCCCTTCTTCTTTGCCAAGTGATCTCCTGGCTGAAAAGCGAGCCCTGGTTTTTTCCTTCTAGCTGATCAGTTGGGAGGCTTCATGGCTTCTCAATTTAAAGCAATGGTGTCTTGTTTTTTCCCCCTCTTCTTTGTCAAGTGAGCCCTGATTTTTTCCTTCTAGCCGATCAGCTGGGAGACTGGGAGGCAGTGAATAGATTGGGGGCGGGGCCATGCAGAGGTGGTATTTACCGGATCTCCGAACTACTCAAAATTTCCACTACTGGTTCGCGAGAACCAGTAGCAACCCACCACTGAAGTAGACCTATCTGTTGTGGGAATCACATAATCGAGGTCCCAAAGGTGCTTTTTCAAGAGGCAATTGGACTTTCTGGTTTTTTTCTTTGAAGACATTTTGCTTCTCATCCAAGAAGCTTCTTCAGCTCTGACTGGATGGTGGGAAGGATTTATACTCCTTGCAGACAGCTGGTCATTTGCATTCTTTTAGTGAGTTGCTAAGGCCACCTGGAGGTTTATCTACGTCCTCAGGGTCATCTGAGTGGTGCAAGTGGGTGTGGAGCCTCCTTGGAACTGCTGAAAGGACTGTGTTGTAGACTGGAGCTAGATGATGTCATGTCCCTTCGCCTCTTTTGAGGGAAGGCGGTTCAATTTTGACATAGATGACCTCTTTGACCCCTCGTTCAAACCAGTGGTCCTCTCTGTCCAAAATGTGGATTTTGCTGTCTTCAAAAGAGTGGCCTTTGTCTTTTAAATGCAGATGGACTGCTAAATCGAGTCCTGATGGGTTTGATGCAGTGGTGAAATCCTGCCGGTTCTGTCCGGCTTGCACGAGCTGGTAGTGTCGGCGGCACGTGGTTCGGCGAACTGGTAGTGACGGCAGTGCGAGTCCCTTTTTTAAAAAACTGTTTGTGCCTTCTGGCAGCTCTGCGCATGCACACGCTAGAAACAGGCTCCTCCTGTTCCTCTGCCTCTCTGCTGTCCGACTCTGGAGGCTCCAGAGTCCACGCATCACTCCCAGATGGCCTTGGCTCCATCTCTGCCTCCGATACAGAGCCCTCATCCGGGCCTTCCCCAGCCTCCAGGACTGGCCCATGTTCCTCCCCAACCTCCTCACTGTCCGACTCTGCTGCCACTCCACAGGTCCCTGGTGGATCACAACATGATTAATTGCACTTCAGTCACCTCTGAACCATCTCTATCTTACACACACACACGAACGCAGCTTTTAGTGGGTAGATTGACTATAACACCTCCTGCTTGTATACATCATCATTCAATTTTTATTCAATTTTATTATGGTTATTCGATTTTATTTCTGTACATGAACAAAAATAAGTTTCCGGACATTCACTTAAAGCTAGAAGAGCTAGCTATAGAAGGAAGTAGAGTCTTGAATTTGAGATGTAAAGTTTTTCATCGTTTTATAAATTGTATTCTTATTTTGAAGGTTTTCTAGATTGGGTTCCTAAGAAAATGCAGAGGGTGGGCTGTGTTGAGCTGCTGAATACAATCCAGAGACGAATACAACCACGACTTCATGTTTTTGGACACATTCACGAAGGTCAGGAATTGTATGTGTGTGTATTATTTTCATGCATAAAAATGAAAATGAATAATAGAAAGTTGTTGAGATATTAACTGTGATAGGTTAGAGATATGTTGATTGGTTCTGACCTAGGGTTCCTGAGTCAGTAAAACACACGAGTTGTCCCAAAAACCTCTTTTATTGCAACAGCTGTGAATTCTGTTCATTCACAGATGAGTCCCAAATAATTGTAAAGAGTCCTTCGGGATAAGGCTGATAATCACCCACTTTTATCTCCCTTGACACGCTGCCAAAGACTTAATTGGCAAAGCCATACAGAGTCCAGAATCAAACAGAGCTTCAGACTTTAAACTGAACAGAATTAACAATGTTGCTTCCTGCAAAGGCCCACGTGCCTTTGCTCCTCTTTTAAGTCTTGGTAGTACAGTGGTCTAAGGCACCCTGTTATTAAGACCAATTGCAATTACTGCAGGTTCGAATCTCGCCAAGGCTCAAGGTTGACTCAGCCTTCCATCCTTTCTAAGGTAGGTAAATTGAGGACCCAGTTGTATAAATATACGAAAGGATGAAGGCTATTGCTTAGCGCATTGTAAGCCGCCCTGAGTCTCCGGAGAAGGGCGGCATATAAATCAATTTTTTTAAAAAAAAGTCTTATGGGCGGGGCCAATCATCTCCAAGCCCTACTCCCGAGTCATCCCTTTTGTTTTAACTGTTCTTGTCTTCTGGCAGCTCATAAGCTTCAAAATCAGTCTTTGCACAACAAGGAGTAAGAGTGAGTAATTGTGTCCATAGAGGAGGACAAAAAAAAGTCTATAAGGCAACTGTATAATCATGGTCACACACATATAGTCCATCCTACGGATGCCCTTGAAGGACCTACTTTTTACCAACTAGTAATGCAAACTCTAGAGGGACATGGTGGCTCAGTGGCTAAGACACTGAGCTTGTCGATCGAAAGGTCGGCAGTTCAGAGGTTCGAATCCCTAGTGCCGCATAACAGGGTGAGCTCCCATTACTTGTCCCAGCTTCTGCCAACCTAGCAGTTCAAAAGCACGTAAAAAATGCAAGTAGAAAAATAGGAACCACCTTTGGTGGGAAGATAATAGCGTTCCGTGCACCTTTGGCGTTTCGTCATGCCGGCCACACGACCACGGAGACGTCTTCAGACAGCACTGGCTCTTCGGCTTTGAAACAGAGATGAGCACCGCCCCCTAGAGTCAGAAGGACCTACTTTTTACCAACTAGTAATGCAAACTCTAGCCAGATCTAGACTGATAAATATACAGGTAGTCCTTACCTTACAACAGTTTAGTGACCGTTCAAAGTTATAGCAGCACTGTAAAAAGCACTGAAATTATAGTTTTTCAAGTTACGACCTTTCCAGCATCCAACGATCATGTGATCAAAATCCAGATGCTTGGCAACTAGTTCATATTTATGACTGTTGCTATGTCCCAAGATCATGTGATCCCCTTTTGCAATCTTCTGACAAGCAAAGTCAATGGGGAAGCCAGATTATTCCCTTAACAACTGGGTTACTAATTTATCAACTGCAGGGCTCAATTGTGGTCATAAATTGAGGATTACCTGCATAGTGTTTGCTCAGGCACTATGTGGAGCTCATTCCATTAAATTGGAATGCTGTTTCATACCAGCATCTTTTAAGCAATAAACACAGTAAAGGGAACATGAATATATTTCCAGCAGATGATAGTAATTTACATAAAATAACAAAGTAGATTTTTACCTTGGGTTTCTCAAGTTTTTCAGAATGGTGATGTAAAAAAAAAATCTAAGTACTAGAATGTTCCATTATGACATGGTTGCTGCTGATATCTGCTACTAATTAAAGAGACAAATGCAAGTGTTCATTTCCTGAATTTCTGGGAGAAATAATTACTGGACCACCACTCTGTTTTCATGAAAACCTTACTGTTTGTGAAAACACCCCGCTTTAAAATTCTTCCTAATGTGACAGAATTCTATTACTTTCAGTAAAAAGTAATAGTAAAAAAGTTTAAAAAAAATTTCAGTTGTTCCTCATTATCTTCTCTACGCCCTGCTTTATTTTTCGACACACATTTATAACATCTACATTATTATCTCTGTATCTCAGGATTTTTCGTACAAGAATGAAAAAAGTGCTAGAAAGATTTTCTACAACAAATTTTTGCTAGAATCTGATAAAAGATAATTGGGGAATAATGATTTTCTGAAACTTTGGATCTTCCAGAACCATGATTAACCTCAACTGTCTTATGCCACATATTTTTGCTTTCTGTATTTTGCTTTCTGTAAAATAGATTTCCTTCAGCCTTTACGTATGATTTGCTCCATGGAAATGTCTCCATAATTTAGCTGAACTGCACTCTGTCAAATTCCGTAGCATATGGAACCGGCTGCAATTAATAGGTTGTTCCCAAACATCCGTATATGAAGAGTAGCAACAAAGCCAACTTATGAAGGAGACATGGGTCATTGTGACATTCAGTTATATAGAAGTAACAGATGTTCAACCTCTGAATACTATTTAAAAGCTCTTAATGTCGAAAATATCTTTATAGGGGTAAAGGGCAAGAAATAGGAGCATGAAAATTATAATGCCTTGATGGTTGGCATGCTTTTTTCCTTTCTTCTTCTTAACTCACTCTGAATGTACATTCAATTTGGCTTCAGAACATCTCAAAGGAATCTGAATTCTATGGAGACTTCCAGATCCAACATGCAAAGACCCTTCCATGAACAGAGACTTAATATCCATTCATTTAGAATAGAATAACAGAGTTGGAAGGGACCTTGGAGGTCTTCTAGTCCAACCCCCTGCTTAGGCAGGAAACCCTACACCACTTCAGACAAATGGTTATCCAACATCTTCTTAAAAACTTCCAGTATTGGAGCATTCCCAACTTCTGGAGGCAAGTTGTTCCACTGATTAATTGTGCTAACTGTCAGGAAATTTCTTCTTAGTTCTAAGTTGCTTCTCTCCTTGATTAGTTTTCACCCATTGCTTCTTGTCCTGCCCTCAGGTGCTTTGGAGAATAGCTTGACTGCCTCTTCTTTGTGGCAGCCCCTGAGACATTGGAAGACTGCTATCATGTCTCTCCTAGTCCTTCTTTTCATTAAACTAGACATGAATGATTTGAACGATGACTTCATAAGAAGAGTCCCATTTTCTTCCTTAAGAACCAAGTAGAATCCTGCATTCAGTTGGAAGGGACCTAATCTAAATTCAGGTTTAATGTTAAAGTTTTAGAGAGAGGGAATTCATTGCAGACGGGCCCTAAATTTTACAGGGAATTAATTAAATTGTAGGGATTGGAACTATTCTTCACAAAGTGGGGACATTAGAGTGTTGTTTGCTTGGATTCAGGAAGGCATTTATTTATTTATTATTTATTGGTTCGATTTATATGTCGCCCTTCTCCGGAGACTCAGGACGGCTTACAATGCGTTAAGCAATAGCCTTCATACTTTTGTATATACCTGCTTAGTAGGGCTTTCGACTCCCCCTAAGCGGTGTTCTTTTTATACAAAGTCAGCTTATTGCCCCCACAATCCGGGTCCTCATTTTACCTACCTCGGAAAGATGGAAGGCTGAGTCAACCTTGAGCCTGGTGAGATTTGAACTTGCAGTAATTGCAGGCAGCTGGCAGCTAAGTGCTACTTAACAGCACTTTAGTCCGCTACGCCACCAAGGCTCCTAATGCACCAAGGCATTCAAATTTAGTGCTGTGATTTACTGGCGTTCAATGGGATGAATAAGAATTTCTATATGGCCAAACTTTGGTGTATGACAGTAGTGGGATTCTAATCCCGTTGCTACTGGTTTGGTCATGGGTGCGCGCTTGCACGCGCGATGCTTCTGCCCATGTGCATAAGGTTCTGCGCATGCACAGAGATGTCTGGGTGGGTGGGCGGAGCCTCCCGCCACTGCCACTGCTTCCGGTTCGCCAAATCCGGGGCGAACCAGTAGCAATCCACCACTGGTGTATGATAACAGAAATAGTGTACTGGAGAAAAGCTTATTTATAACAATGTTTTTAATTTTTTTTAGGTTACGGTGTTATGGCTGATGGAACAACTACCTATGTGAATGCTTCTGTCTGTACCATGAATTACCAGCCATTGAATCCACCTATAGTAATTGATTTACCTACTCCAAGAAACACATAATTGTGCCAGAATGGAAATATGTCATTTATGCCAACGTAAGAGCCAAGCAACCATGAAATTGTGGCATTATTTTTATTGTTCTCTATAGACAACGCGGAAAGATAGAAATGGACAAGTAACAAAGGCATTTGGCATCACAACCTTCTGAAAATGTATTCCTGGATCTAGCATTTCATTGTTTTAAAAAATGGTTAATATATGAAAAAGGAAACAACTTCTGCGTTATAGACATTGGTGCATTTTGTATATTCCATATGCTGTATTGAATTTATGAAAGGACACGTCTCTTCAGCAACATGATTTGTTATGAATGCTTGCAGTTTTATATGTGTGTTCAGTAACAGCCTTCTTCATTTATATCTGTACAGAGGAATAATCATATTGAGAGTCAAAATTTGTAATTGTGTGAAATACACTTTCTTTAAACAGTATCTCCATGTAATCACCAAAAGAATAATAATCTTATTCTGCATTATTTTGAAATCTACCCTGTTTCCCCGAAAATAAGACATCCCCTCATAATAAGCCCAATCGGGCTTCTGAGCGCATACGCTAAAATAAGTCCCCCCGAAAATAAGCCCTCCCCCAAAATATTTAAAACGCATTCATAGCCGGTCCCCACCATTTCCTCCACGCACCCCAAAATAATAAGACCTCCCCAAAAATAAGGCCAAGTGCTTATTTCGGGGTTTGAAAAAATATAAGACAAGGTCTTATTTTCGGGGAAACACGGTATACACATTCTTTCAGTTTAACAGTGTAGAGAAACAACAACTCTTGTTTGCAACAGGGAACAAACGTTGAAAAAGAAAAATGTTATAATATGAATTACTGAATTGCTGTGCACAACAGGAACATTTTAAAAAGGAAGTGGTTTAAAATCAGATGAAAACTCAGGAATTAGTTTTTCCTCCCGATAAGTAAGATAGTCTGCTACTTTTAAATCTTACCTACTAACTTTTAGGTTGTGAAGTCTTAGGGCTGATAGCAGTGGCCTCAGTTGGATTTTTCTTGAGCAATGATGTGGAAGCATCAGATAGAACCCACAGTTGCCGATAGCAAATTAAACAGATTGTTCAGGTTCTGTTGTTGCTTTTTGCTGTTATTTTTAAATATAATATGGTCATAGCAGTGATCCTGGATAAGACCTATCTGTATGATCTTTAAGACTGAAAGCCAGTTTGGTCTAGTGGTTAACGTACCAGGCTAGAAATTAGGAGACTGTGGGTTTTAGTCCCATCTTAGCAGTGGTGGGATTCAGTCAGTTCACACCACTTCGGGAGAACCGGTTGTTAATTTTCTGAGCAGTTTGGCAAACTGATTGTTGGAAGAAATCATTAGGGCAGAGAACCAGTTGTTAAATTACTTGAATCCCACCACTACATCTTAGACACGTAAACTGGCTGAATGACTCTGAGCCAATCATTCTCTCTCAGTCCAATAACCAACAACAAGGTTGTTATTGTGGGGAAAATAGGAGGAGGAGGAAGGAGTAATAAATATGTTCACTGTCTTGAGTTATTTATAACAAAAATAATGGCAAGAGTAAAAAAAAAAGATCAGCACTGAATAGATAGCACATAATTGATAAATCAGCCATAGCAATACTGACGTCAAGCACTAAGAATCACTTCAACGTGATCACTAGTGTAAAAGAAATTCAATGCAGTTGCTAGTTTTGTAAAATAAGAAGGCACAGAAGTTTCCAGATATGGAAAGAAGCATTTTCACATTGAAGATGGATTGATTGATTCATAGGCCAAGAGCAGGAAAAGTGATAAATGCTATATATGTATCTGTTTCTCACTATGTCAACAACTGAACATGAAAGAGGTTATTTTGGTATTGTCGTGCTCAGGAGCTTCCCTAGCTTCATCCAGGGGTGGGCTTCAAAAATTTTAGCAAAGGGTTCTCTACCTGGTTGCTGGATGGGCGTGGCCTAGTCAGCCTCCTACACCCTGGCTGGGGGGGGAGCTTTTTGCCCTCCCCAGGCTCCAGAGGCTTTCCTTGAGTCTCTGGGAGGGTGAAAACGGCTTCCCCAGGCTCTGGAGGCCAGAAACAGGCCCGTTTATGGCCTTCCCGAACTTCCGGTAGGCCCGTTTTTCACCCTCACCTCACCTCCGCATGCGCTCTGCACTTACCTGCATCCAAAACAGGCTGCGTGGGGACTCCTGGAAGGGGTGGGCGGGGCCAGCCGGAAGTGGGATTTGGGGGTTCTCCGAACTGCACAGAATCTTAGCTAAAGGTTCTCCCGAACCCCTGTGAACCCCCAGCAGCCCACCCCCGGCTTCATCATTCACCGCTTCATCTTAACTGGATCTGTGATATAATTCAAAAACTGACCAACATTTTCAGCCACAGAGAAGATTTCTCACTGTTGGGTAACCCTCTATTTTGTAAACGATTTGTTTTTGTGGATTAGCTTCCCTCACTCCTAATTTAGGTATGCGGGTATGTAAGATGAGCAAACAACTAAATGCAAACGAAGGGTTGCATGCCAGCAGATGACTGGTCAAGGTAGCAAAAAAAAAAAAAAAAAAAAGACGAATTTCTTATAGAGTCCCCAAGCACAGAATGTTTCCACATGTTGCCACATATTATTGTACACAATCAGGTAGAGGAATTTTATACTATGAATCAGTGTGGCTTTTTAAAACATAGATTTTATAATGAAAATCATGATTTTATAGTGAAAAATCATGAGAAAAAAAAAAGAATTCCATTTCTCAAACTAAGGCTTACATGCACATTGCAAACACTTCAAAATGTAGTGAGCATTTTGAAAAAAAGCAGCTCCCCTTGTCCCTTTTTTCATTGTATCTCAATCAGGAGATATTCTCTGAATATTTCCCCCGTGAGATTATACTTCTTTCAAAATGCTATGTATTTTTTATGTGAGAATGTTACAGAAGGAGTTATAATCTTTAAAAGGAAATACTGTATTAAGATGCTTTGGCGGTTCCACAGTTTTTAGGATAACTGGATTGTTGTTCCAAAGTTGGGTGATATTTTAAGATGGACCAAAAAGTAGCCAAAAGTGCAAACCTTCATTCTCTTAAATCAGGGGTCAGCAACCTGTGGCTCTGGAGCCACATGTGGCTCTTTCACTCCCCTGCTGCGGCTCCCTGTCACTCAAAATATGCATCACAACCACCAATGTGCGACACCCGCTGGCACACAATTTATTGAGCTTTTCAACCTCTGGTAGGCCAACCATGGATAAATCCAAGAAAAACAAAGTTTCAGAAGAAAACAGAACATTTAATTCAACTACATATGCTAGTTTTGTGGCCACTCAAGAAATAGTTAGGCACAGGAAGGGTTTTGTGGCTCCCAGTGTTTTCTTTTCTGTGGGAAACGGGTCCAAATGGCTCTTTGAGTGTTTAAGGTTGCAGACTCTCTCTCTCTCATCCATGCAGAATACAGAATAATAGAGTTGGAAGGGACCTTGGAGGTCTTCTAGTCCAACCCGTACTCAAGCAGCAGACCCTGTTCCATTTCCGACAAATGGCTGTCCAGTCTTTTCTTAAAAACCTCCAGTGATGAAGCACCCACAACTTCTGAAGGAAAGCCATTCCATTGTTCTCACTGTCTGGAAGTTTCAGTGGGAGGTTGCTTTTCTCCTTGGTTGGTTTCCATCCATTGTTTCTTGTCTTGCCTTCTGGTGCTTCGGAAAATAGGTTGAGACCCTTTTCTTTGTGGCAGCCTCTCAAATATTGGAACACTGTTATCATGTCACCCCTAGTTGTTTTTTTCTCTAAACTAGCCATAAACTAGCCTTTTAAGACAGAACCTTGGGGTACCCCACTGCTTAATTCTCTCCATGTAGATGTAGTACCATTAAGGACTACTCGTTGAATGCAATTTTTCAGCAAGTTACAAATTAATCTAGTGATGATGCTGTCTATCTCACATTTTTCTAGCTTATCAAGAAGTAGGTTGTGGTCTACTTTGTCAAATGCCTTACTGAAATCTAAGTATACTACATCCACAGCATTTTGCTAATTTAGTCACTTTGTCAAAGAATGAAATAGATTGGTTTGGCATCATCTCTTTTTGACAAACTCATGTTGGCTTCTGGTTATAAATTTACTTGCTTCTAGGTGTTTGCAGATCTATTTTTTTATTATCTTTTTGCAGGATTTTCCCAGGTATTTATTTCAGGCTGATCGGTCTATAGTTTCCTGGATCTATTTTTCCCCTTTTTTGAAGATGGGAACCACATCAGCTCTTTTCCAGCCCTCAGGTAGTTCCCCAGTGCTCCAGGATCTTTGAAAGATATGATTTAATGGTTCTGACATCTGCCTGCTCCTTAAGATCTCTGGAATGTAATCCATCAAATCCTGGTGATTTGAACTCATCTAGATCAGAAAGGCGATCTCTTACCATTTTCTTGTTTATTTTAATTATTTTTTAATTTTTATTTATTTCTAGTCTGACTGTTATGGTTATGTTTTTGGTAGGCTGGGCTGTACTTTCTTCTTACGTGAAGACTGGTGCAAAGAGTGAGTTAAGCAGCTCTACTTTCTCTCTACTGCCCGTTACTTCCTTGCCATCTTCTCCTTTTAGTGGATCGATTGTTTCCTTGACTTCTTTCTTCTTCTTTTATGTATTCAAGTCCTTAATTTGTCTTAATTATTTTACCTTAATATAATTTAAAGTCCTTCATTTACTATTCTTGAGTTGGAGGAAAATTGGGTTATTTTAAAAAGAGCTGCTGTCTTAACCTTCATTTTCACTATACCTTAGAAAGTTGGCGTTGGTGTCTTCACAGAAAGGCCCTGGTCATTAGCAGTGGGAGAGAGAGGCATTGAAACATTTGCTGGATGTGGTTATACTTCCAGATTTCCATGGGGAATGTAAGCCTCATGGAAGTTAAGGAATATTGGGTGGCTGGATGAGGTGCTGTTCTCCTCAGCAGCTGAACCTTGAATAACAATGGAGAAACAACGGTTGCAAGTTTCTGATCGCTAAAGAGGATTCCTACAATGCTTGTATGAAAAGGCCTTCTGCTTGTCTATGGATAACGACTTCCTTGCCTCACCAATTTGATCTAGCTTTACTGTGCCTCAGTAGGGCCTAGCTGTGAGATGCTGCAAGAAAAAAGTCTTCAATGAATGTGAATTTTCCAGCTGAGGAAAGGATGCTATGTGGATGAGCCCTAAGCCCTAAACATGCCAGAAACTGAAGAAAAATTTTGGAGAACACATGATGTTTTAGTTTTCGCCAATATATTTCCCAACTATGGATTTTGAATTTTTTTCCCCCCTCATAAACCAGTGGAGCCAGCTTGGTCTTATATATGCTTTGGAACGTTGTTGTAATTTTCTCTCAAGCATGTTAGAACAATAAACAAATCTTTTAAAGCTAGCAATTATGTGCTGTATACTTGGGGCATTCAGAATTAGTAGGTTTGACTTTATTTGCTATATCATGGCAATGAATTACAGAAAGAACAGTGGGTGTTCCAGGGATAAGAAGTTGAAGTTATCCATCTTACATGAGTACTGTGCAGTGGTGGGTTTCAAAATATTTTACTACTGGTTCTGTGGGTATGGCATGGTGGGTGTGGATTCCCACCCCACTCCAGGGGAAGGATACTGTAAAATCTCCATTCCCTCCCCACTCCAGGGGAAGGTTACTGCAAAATCCCCATTTCCTCCTGATCAGCTGGGACTCGGGAGGCAGAGAATAGATGGAGGTGGGGCCAATCAGATGTGGTATTTACCAGTTCTCTGAACTACTCAAAATTTCCACTACCGGTTGTCCAGAATTGGTCAGAACCTGCTGAAACGCACCTCTGGAACTGTGCCAGATTGTGCCAAAATCAGACAGATTGTGCCTACAGAGCCACTTTAGAAGCAGGTTGGCACCTATGTGCTCAGGAGAATGGCAGCCTGCATTTAGATATCACTAGAGTGATGCCACAAGCTGTAGCTCTCTTTGATGAGACCGGAACCCTCTTTAGTCTTCGGTATGTGGCACTACTACTAAAAGAAACACTTTTGCTCAGTTGAAGGTACCCAGATTATGATTGTACGGGGCACAAAACAATCACAAATAGCCAGCTGGGGGCATCGTATGAACCTAAACTTTTTTCTGAGGCTGATTGTAATGTGCAAATGTGGCCAACAGAGGTTAATTCAATAAATTAAATTAAATTGTGATTAAGTCCATCATGTGAACGCAACCATAGTATTGCACTGGCAATAAAACTCTGTAGCAAGGGGAAGCCGGGCCTGAGCACAAGGCAGCTGCGGGTCTGGGTTTCATGATCTATCCCTGTCAGAGGAAGAAGAGCTAAGCTCCAGCATTGGCTGCCTTGAAACTGTAGAACTGGTAAGATTCCTTCCTTCCTTCCCTTCCTTCCTTCCTTCCTTCCTTCCTTCCTTCCTTCCTTCCTTCCTTCCTTCCTTCCTTCCTTCCCTCCCTCCCTCCCTCCCTCCCTCCCTCCATCCCAGGGTGGGCTTCAAAAATTTTAGCAAGGGTTCTCTACCCGATTGCTGGGTGGGCGTGGCCATGGTGGGCATTTGCACCATGGTGGGGGGGGGCATTTTTGCCCTCCCCAGGCTCCGGAGGCTTTCCTCGAGCCTCCTGGAGGGTGAAAACAGGCTCCAGAGGCCCTCTGGAGGCCTTCCCGAACTTCTGATAGGCCCGTTTTTCACCCTCCCCGAGCCTCTGCGTGTGCCCTGCACTTACCTGCATCCAAAATGAGCCACATGGGGACTCCTGGGAGGGGACGGGTTGGGTGGGCAGGGCCAGCCAGGAGTGGGATTGGGGTTCTCCAAACTGCACAGAATCTTAGTTAGAGGTTCTCCCAAACCCTGCCGAATCCCCGAGCAGCCCACCCCTCCCTGCCTCCCTCCCTTTCTCTGACTTTAAAAATGGGCTGAAAGATACAGTCATGGATATGGCAATTTAGCAATCCTGTTATATGGTGGAATTAAACTGCAGTTAATGAACTCAACAGAATTTATGGCTTTGCTTTTGACTGAGAAGAAGCCGTTTTTATATCGGAGTATCTGGTTTGCTTTTCCTGCAGGATGTTGTACTTTTTATAATGATATACTGCAATATATAATTTATGGACATCATGCAGAAATGTGTTTCTGTAAACAGTAAAATATAAAACCCGCTCAAAGGATTTTAAAGGGTATAGTGAAATTGTTAAATTCTGGTTTTTTAGTGTATGTGCAAATGGACTTCTAGAGCTTACCTTCCCTTAAAAAACTTAACTGCACACAACAGCTCTTGTGAATTTAATCCAAAATGTAAAAACTTTAATGCTTGTCTATCTCTAATTTATAGGAAACTATGCTTTATTCAAATAATTGCCTTTAAAATGGCCATCTATAAATGATTAGGAAATTTAAAAGATATTATTTTGGACAAGATTGTTCTCCAAGCAGCACTTACGTCTAGAAGAAATATTTCCATTTAATTTCAAGTATGTAGTTTAGGTCACCATTGCAACTGAATAAAAAAAAATATATCAGTCCAATAGTTCATATTTCCAAAGAAATGAATTATAACTCCATTTCTTCTCATTAAAGATGCATGGCACATTTTCTCATGCTCTGGATAAATAATAAATACACAATTTTAATACTCTTTGTTGCTTCTCTCTTTTGATATATAAAAGTGCTTTTGCATATCACCAGGGTGTATAAAGATATATGAGGCAAAAGCGTTCCAATCTTAAAACATACCACATCTGATTTTCAGTAAGACCCTAGTGTTTGCAAGAATGGGCTTTAGGTTTTACAAATGCTGTAAATTAAAAACAGAGATGCCATTTGCAGAACTGAAATCATGAATGCGGATGAAACTAATAGCCGGCAATGAATGTCTGGAAGATCCTGAGCTCCTCAGAACCACATTCTCCCTTCTCCTGTGCAGCCATCTTTTTCCTGAGGTGCCGATTCTTTTCAGGATGACAACTGTGGAAGAATATAAGCATTGTATCCTCTTTCTGAATAGTCTGGCTTTCACCATCTATTAGGATTACAAAAATTATTTTGACAAGTGCTCTGGACACCCCTAGCTATTTGTTTAAGTGTCCTCATCTTTTTTTCCCCCCAGCCTCCTGTGCAGGCATGAAGCTAAGAAGCCATCTCTGTGTTATTGAAGATTATGTACCACTTAAAGCTGTGGCATCTTTTTTCCAGCACTGGATGGAAGTCTGAGAAAAGAGGGGTTGTTTCAGTGAATAGCAGAGTGTTTTTCTACCCATGTAGAAATCATTGCTTTGATGCCCCAAATATTTCGAAACAGATAAATGCACACTCACCTTGGTTTTTTTTGTTTTTTTTTTAATTTGATTTATATGCCACCCTTCTCCGGAGACTCAGGGCGGCTTACAATGTGTTAAGCAATAGCCTTCATACTTTTGTATATTTATACAAAGTCAGCTTATTGCCCCCACAAACTGGGTCCTCAATTTACCTACCTTAGAAAGGATGGAAGGCTGAGTCAACCTTGAGCCTGGTGAGATTCGAACTTACAGTAATTGCAGACAGCTGGTGTTAATCACAATGCTATCAGTCTGCTGAGCCACCAGGCCCTTAAACTTCTAGAAGTTAAAACTTCTTCTTCCTACTCTAGTTCAATTGCAGTCACATCCACATATCTGTGACAACGCTCATTGCAAAGGATTGGATATTGCCAATTTCCCCATTGTACAGATGTCAAAGCCAGGGACTGGGGCAAGAAATGCTTTGGTTTTTCCTAAAGGCACATTCAGTTGGCATGGGGACAAAAACACAAAAACCACAATCTTCCATCATCATTGTCTGCTAATTCAGCACCACACTTTGCTATAGCTACAGAAGAACTGGTCAGACCAGGGGTGTCAAACTCGATTTCATTGAGGGCTGCATCTGGGTTGTGTTTGACCTTGGGGAAGAGGGGGGCGGGGGCAGAGGTGGGTTCTAAATTTTTTTACTACCGGTTCTGTGGGTGTGGCTTATTTTGTAGGCGTGGCTTGATGGTCATGTGACAATTCTTTAGGATTTAGCAGAGGTACTGGTCTACCAGGCTTTTAACTGCTTGCAGAGCTGTACTGGTCTACCCATTTATTTTTGCAGACACCGGTCTACTCATTTGTTTTTGGAGGCACCGGTCTACCACTAAACTGCCTTTTAGCACTGATCAGGTGTAGGGCGGCCTTTTGAAGACCCGCCGCAAGAGTTTAAACAGTTTTTTTCCTTATAGCTGATCAGCTGGGACTCAGGAGGCAGCAATAGATTGGGGGTGGGGCCAAATAAAAGATAAGAATAACATGGGTGGGGGAAGTGGGGGGTGGGCAGAACCGGTTGACGATATGACATCACTGCTACCAGCTCGGCGGAACCAGGAGGAACCCACCACTGGGTGGTGGGGCATGGCCAGAGTGGGCATGGCCAGCTCAACATCACTTGTGTCAGGGGCACCTGTAGCGGCCCGAGCACTGCCAGCGAAAACGGGCTCCCGAGCTCTGTTTTCTCCTGCAGCAGCCTCCTGCAACCCTCTGCCAGCGAAAACAGAACTCGGGAGAGCCTCTCGTGGCCCTCCCAAGATCCATTTTTGCTGGCAGAGGCACTGCAGGCCAGTCCTTCAATGTTTTCAGGGTGGACCCATGGACCAGATTTAAGCACCTTGCAGGCTGGATCTGGCCCCAGGGCCTTGAGTTTGACACCTTTGGGTCAGACTAAGGTGGTCAATGCCCAAGAAGCATTTTTGAGAGGGAGGGAGAAACAAGGAAGGCACCACCTTGTTCTGGCTTTCTGGGTTTTATTTCCATAAGGAAGAGGTGAACTACAAACAGATTGTGCCTAATATGACCACTGACATGGCCATCTCCAACATATAACTATATCATAACATATAGCTATATACTGCAGTGGTCCCCACTACTGGGCCATGAGCTGTTCAGAATTGGACCATCCGAAGCGGTGGGTGAGCACATATGCCTTCCCACTTGCACGAGCAGTGGGTGAGCTCGTGCACACATGCTCCATTTGCACAAGTTATGGGTGCACGTGGCTGCTGCTTGTGCAAATGGAATTGTGCGTGCACTTGCCCACTGCTCAAGTGAAACCATCCCCTCCCCCCTTGCCAGTCCACAAAGCCAGAAAAGTTGAGGAACTCTGATATCCTGTATGTTATTATGTAAGGGATGCGGTGACTCAGTGGCTAAGACACTGAGCTTGTTGATCGAAAGGTTGGCAGTTCAGCGGTTCGAATCCCTAGTGCCGCGTAATGGGATGAGCTCCCATTACTTGTCCAAGCTTCTCCTGCCAACATAGCAGTTCGAAAGCACGTAAAAAATGCAAGTAGAAAAATAGGGACCACCTTTGGTGGGAAGGTAACAGTGTTCCGTGCCCCTTTGG